AGGATGAACTTTACCTATTGTGCTCTTAATAGTTGAAACACAAAGATGCCAGTTCTTCCTCTATTACAGTCAAGTCTTCTATTCCTTGTTTGTCTGTTCACCCATGTGATGTCCAAGATGCTTACTTTCCATCTGTATATGATCCCCTTTTGAATAAAATAACATCTACTAGTAGTGATACTGATGTAAATGTTCCATCATTTGTAAATAAAGTTAGAAGTTCTATTTCTCTAAATTCCCCTACATCTCATAAGAATGATATTATATGGCACAATAGACATGGGCATGTGCCTTTTGTGAAAATGAAGGGAATAACATCTATACCTGACACTTTTTCTTATAAACAACCTTTTGTGTGCTCAATATGTCGTATGGCCAAACAAAACAGACTACCGTTTCCTTAAAGAACCAGCACTTCCAGTAACATTTTTGAATTGTTGCATGTCGACTTTTGGGGACCTTATCACACTACCACTCATGATAACTACCAATATTTCATTACTATGGTTGATGATTTCAACAGAACTACATGGACACATCTTTTAGCTTGCAAGAACAATGCAATTCAAGTAACTAAAGCCTTTATCTCAATGATAGAAAACCAGTTCAAGACTACCATAAAAACTATAAGAACAGACAATGGTTTATAGTTTACCAACACAGAAAGTAACACCTTTTTTCAGTCAAAAAGGATCATTCACCAAAAATCCTGCCCATACACACCAAAACAGAACAGTGTGGTGGAGAGAAAACATAAGTATTTGCTTGAAACAGCTAAGGCACTCTTATTCCAGTCAAAACTGCCCTTGAAATACTGGGGAGAATGTGTGCTAACAACAACCTACATCATAAACAGACTACCCACTACATACCTTAGAAACAAATGTCCTTTTGAAATCCTATACAAAAAGAAACCAATGTACTCTTAAACGAGAAGTTATGGTTGCCTATGCTACCCAAAAGTACCTAAAGTGCATAGGGACAAGTTTGAACCTAGAGCTACTCCATATATTTTTATAGGCTATCCCTTTGGAATCAAAGGGTACAAAGTCGTGAATCTTGCTACCAAGAAGATTCAAATCTCAAGAGATATATATTTTCATAAAAATATCTTTCCCTTTGCAATTGTTCTAGATGTTTCTTCTTTTCCTTTTGTGCTAAAATGTGTCCCTTTTGTTGACTTTGTGGATGATGCTGATAACAATGTTCAAACCAATATAGAATGCAATATAGATAATGCAAGTCACATGGACAATGGACTGTCACCTGTTAGTAACAATGAAATGTCACCTACTGTCATCACATCCACATCACCCCATAATAATCACATTTTTGATGATCCTCCATTTCTGGAGTCATCTCTAGCATCAAAGCTTAATGAACCAGTTTTGAGTAATCAATATCCTCAAACAAGTAATTAGAATAGTCCCAATCTTAAAAGAACCCAAAGAGAAATCAAAACACCTCTATACTTGAATGATTACATTCATAATGTACCTAAATTGCATTCAAATAGTTGTATACCATCTTTAAATGCACTGTTGTTAAACCATCATTTTGTTTCCCTTGAGGTTCTAATCCATGATAGTCAGTCTTTGATGCAAAGTGTCTGTCAAGATAATGAACCTACTTCATCAATCTTGCTTGGCAGGTGGCTCTGACACAAGAGTTTGAGGCATTGCATGCCAATAACACATGAGATTTAGTCCCACTACCAGTAGGGAAGGAAGCCATAGGCTGCATGTGGGTGTATAAAGTGAAACATAAAGCTGATGAGAGTATTGAAAGGTTTAAGGCTCGTTTGGTAGTAAAAGGATACACACAACAAGAGGGAATAGACTACACATAAACCTTCTCACCAGTGGTAAAGATAACCACTGCGAGAGGACTCATAGTTGTAGCAGTCAAAAGAGGGTAGGGCATGTTTCAGCTAGATGTAAACAATGATTTCCTTCATGGAGATTTGAATGAAGAAGTGTTTGTGGAGGTCCCTCCTGGACTAGTAGTATCTAAACCAGGACTAGTCTGTAGGATAAACAAGTCTCTATATGTCTTGAAACAAGCCAGTAGACAATGGTATACAAAATTTACAGAAACACTGTGCTCCAGAGGTTATGAACATTCCATACATGATTATTCATTGTTCTACAAAAAGAATGGGACATCCTTGGTATACGTAGCAGTATATGTTGATGATGTGATACTCACAGGAACAAATATTGAAGAAATAAAGCTTTTGAAGAAGTTTTTACATGATAGCTTCAAAATCAAAGATCTAGGGAGACTTCAGTACTTCCTTGGCCTTGAAATTCTTTATAAGGATGATGGATCATCATTTCCCAAAGAACATTTGTCATTTACCTTTTGAAAGAGTATAATTGTCTCAGTTGTAGTTCCTTATCATCTCCCCTCGCTCCAGATGTGAAGTTAAAAGCAAAGAAAGGTGCTCCCTTGTCAAATCCCAGCAGTTATAGAAAGTTGGTTGGGAAATTGAATTTTCTGACTAACACAAGATTAGATATTGGTTTTAGTGTTCAACATCTAAGCCAGTTCATGCAAGATTCAAGGGAACCACACTTGAAGGCAACATATCACCTATTGAGGTACTTGAAAGCCGATCCTAGCCTAGGTGTCTTCTTCTCCAAGTATGCTGATTATACAGTCAAAGCATACTGTAATTCTGATTGGGCATCATGCCCAGACTCTAGGAAGTCAGTTACTGGGTATGTTGTTCTACTGGGAGATAGCTTTATCAGCTGGAAATCAAAGAAACAGGAAACCATCTCCTTGTCGTCAGCTGAAGCAAAGTACATGTCCATTCGAAAGGTGGTTGGTGAGCTAGTGTGGTTACAAAGGCTACTTGAAGAGCTCACAGTCACTTTCTCCAGTCCTATTGCAGTATTTTGTGACAGTTAATCAGCGTTTCACATAGCAAGGAACCCAATGTTCCAAGAACGAACGAAACATATTGAGGTAGACTACCACTTTGTTACAAACAAACTGTAGGAAGGGCTTATTTCTCTACATCATATTAGAACTGATCATCAACTTGTCGATATTCTCACTAAAGCACNATACTTGCTTAGGGTAGTTGTACTTATAGCATTGCGAGTAGTACCAAGCAGTTAGGTAGTTAGTCGAGTTAGTTAGACTTCCTAAAGTTAGTTAGTCGGTTAGTTGGGGTTTGGGCTCCGTTAGTTTTTCTTATGCTTCTCTTCTGCTTTTGCATTTTATATATACACCTTAATTGAGCTAATGTGATTGAGACTTTCATTTTCAAAATTATTTTTCCTTCCTCTTGCAAATGCTCTCGTTTTCAGTCTTCTCCTTCAAGTCTCTACTTACGCCATTGGAGCTCTTCTCGAGCTCAATTGTATATTTGCTTTGCTGATTTGATAGATAGAATTTGATTCATGTGCTTGCTTTTCATTCTTGCATAAGGGAATTGGATTGGAGTGACGAATTTATCTTGAAAGTACAGATGATAATTAAAAAGAAAACCAAGAAGGTTCAAGAGTGGGAATCAATTTCCTTTGTTTCCCATTAACGTTACAAATCTTTTATATTTTGTAGTGTTTTGGGAATGTTTGATATTTCTCCATAAATAATGGAGTATTATTTTGCAGCAAATTATTTAATCATTAAAATCTAATTATTAGGCGACACTCTTTCCGATTTTAAACATTAGTCATTTTAATAAATTATTGTTAATGTTATTGTTGTTGCTTCAGTTAGTTAAGTATTAAATAAGTAGCACATTTAAAAGAAAAATATAATTTAATCAATGCACTTATAATTAAAACTATTTGATATACTTTTATTTTAAGGAATATAAAGACAATGCTTTACCCCTCAATGTGGGACTTTTCGGCACGAATACAGATTAGTCGGGCCCCAATATGAGTACTGAATATCGGGTGAGAAATTAAAAAAAAAAGGAATATAAAGACAACTAAACACAAACCAAATACTATGTTCTGTTGTGAACATATTATAAAGATAACGGGAGCAATAAATTACCTTCTTTTTAAGGCTATAAAAGGAAAGTCATAAATACTAGAGAAAAAAATAAAAAATAAAAAAGGAAACAACATAAGATTATTTATTTATTACACAGTCTTGAAAAACAGTTCCAACTTCCCAAGAAAGAAAGCCCGAGATCTCTCTCTGATCTCTGTTGCTAAATTAAGTTGTCATTGGCCTCTTCACTATTTTCCACTCTCCTCAACTCCCCTCCCCACCAAAA